TAACGTTTAACGCAGAGAATTCAAAATCACATCAAATCCTTGGTAGAACATTTCCCAAGCAGAAAATACCTCTTTGGGGTAAACCCATTGAAATCGAGAGTTGCAGAGATGAGGGCTGCTTTGCTCTCATTCTGCTTAGCCCAGCAGGAAAAGGGGTACCCACATAAGATGCCAAAGGATGCTCTTCAGGCATCCGACTTATTACATCAACTCCAGACCAGCCAACACTGCATTATCAAGGTGAAACCAAAAACTGTAACTCTGCCTTGCACCAAAGGGACTCACCGTTTTTCCTTGAGGGGGGGCCAGGGGACGTCCCAGGCCAAAAATCTCAGCCGGTGACTGAAGTTGAGATGGCTGCAGAAGAGCAATGCCGAAGAAAACAGGGCAGAAGTGGGGGAGAGAGAACTGGAAGAAAAATCTGCTGGTCTTAGTTTGTTTGGGGTTTTTTGCAGTCTTCCTTTTTCTCTTTTCTTTCTTTCTTTCTTTCTTCTTTTCTTTCTTTCTAATTTATCAGCATGATGCTGACAGCTTCTTTTCAGAGTCTTAGTCAGCAAACTCCAAGAACGGGAGGGGAGAGAGAGAAGCCGGGAAGGGGGAGAGGGAGCATTGCTGCCTGGGAATGAAAGAATGAGCAGAAAGTTGTACAGAAATGACTGAGGAGCAGTAACTGCATTAGAGCAGCCTGCACAGACCGGCAGAAGGGAGCGCTTGGGACCAGCGTGTGGGGAGGGCGAAGAGAAAAGGGATGTTGAAGGAGAACCTGCACATCCTTTGGCTGGATTCCTGGACAGCAGCAAAATGGGACGGAAGCCCAAAACTTCAGTCCCAAAACCCAGGTCCCAGTTTTGGATTTCTCAGCCTCATCATTAGGGAAAAGGGCATTGTATGTTCTACCTAAGGGTGCTGGGTGGGAAAATCCAGGATAATTTGGGATTTCCCAGCCTCATTATTAAGAAAAAGGGCCCCCGCATGTTCTAGGCAAGGCTGCTGGATGGGAAAATGCAGGATTGCAGCTTACGCTTGGGAGCCAATGTGGCCAAATAGGGGTGCACAGAGGAGGCCCCCCACTCGCTGCTGTCTCTTCTTTCAGTGACAAGATGGACCTCCAGCTCCAGCGCGCAAGTTTCTGGTGATCCCCAAGTGACTGCAGCACAAAGTAGGGCAAGTGGGAATGAGTTAATGTAGCACACAGGCCTTGCTTTATTGAACGATGGTTTGAGGATAAGCCACCATCTCTGACTTTATGTATCATGCTAAGTCACAAACTGGTTTGAAATCCATAGTTGTTGGGTTCTGTGGCCTTGCAAATCTTAATGAACTGAAACCTACCTGCTATGCCAGTATGGCGAATGGTGAAGGATGCTGGGAGGTGTAGTCCCAGCCATAACGCATATCAATAATAATAATAAGAACTTGATAGGTGGATAAAAATGCCAAATCCAGTCTAAAAATCTGGCTGACTGTGCAATCAACCATCATCATCATCATCATTATAATTAATTAAATTTGTACAGTATGCCACCTGACTCCCCGACGCCCAGCAACATCAAAAAGGGGTGGGGCTTAAATCACCACCATTTTGACTTTTCTGACCCCCCTCCGGCAGACAGCATAAGCCATAATTGCTTGGATTCACCCAGCACTCTCAGCCATAAACCATGGTTTACAAGCCAAACTAACTGGGTTCACATAACATGCTAAGCTGTACACTAGCAAATTGTGCTAGCACGTTGTGCAAAAACGGCAGCAGTCTCACCACAGCCCCTTTCCTAGATCTATCATAATCTTTTTGCAATGAGAATTCAGCAGAACGGCCAGCCCCCCAGGCAGTCTATCTGTGAATAATACTTTCTGGAATTAAATAACCAGCTAGGGGTGAGGGACGCAACAACCTCCATGTCATAATGGTGCACTCTTTCAGAAGCACCTGCTGCCATAATGGAAAACAGAATATTGAGATAAGATTGATCTTTGGGCTTTGTAGAGGTCTAATATTATAGCTCTAGTAGCAAGAAGAAACCTCCATGTGCAGGGGCAGTTACCCAAATATATGGGATACAAAAAACAGGAGACGCTCCCCAGAGTCTGTGCCTGGTGGCTGGAAGAAACAGGACGCTAACTAGATGGTGAATTTGAATTCGCACTGCATGATTAATCCCGTCACCGGAGCTGGCAATATCAACAGCCCTGGATTTGATGGCTGTTGCGAAGGCAAGACTTGAATTTTGCCTTCCCATCAAAGATTGGCACTGAATTGGTTCGCATGTGGAATAAAGCTATGCCTCGCTTGACTACGGTTAAGCAACTAAACCTAAATTTTAAGGGCTAAAATTTATAGGGGGGTTTTAGGACATTTTTAATGTATGTTTCTATTTTAATTATTTATGGATTTTAGCCATTGTTGGAGGGATTGGTGTTTTTTCCTTTTTTGTTATCGTGAGCCGCCCAGAGTCACCCATTGGGGGAGATGGGCGGCATACAAGTTTAACAATAAATAAATAAATAAACCAAAAAAATTTATAGGGGGGTTTTAGGACATTTTTAATGTATGTTTCTATTTTAATTATTTATGGATTTTAGCCATTGTTGGAGGGATTGGTGTTTTTTCCTTTTTTGTTATCGTGAGCCGCCCAGAGTCACCCATTGGGGGAGATGGGCGGCATACAAGTTTAACAATAAATAAATAAATAAATAAATAAACCAAAATGAGCTGAGTCTGCATATTGTGCTCAGACATAAACTGTGCTTGTCCGATACCAGCGGTTACGTTCACACGACGCCAAACTGCCCAGGGTGTCCTGTGAACATGGCAAATACAAATCTAGATACCCACAGTCAGTTTGGCAAAACAGACAAAAGACACAAGAGCCAAACACTTTAAAAGTCATATATTAATCCCACTTTTTCCCTTTCTAATTCTGTAAACAGTGACTTCTTGGAGCTGCTCCAGGTGCCCATTTCTGCTTTATGAACAGGATCCTTTGGTTCACCCATTAGTACCCCTCCTCTTCCAGAAGAGGAAGAAGAAAATGGGTGGGGTACCAGCATAGCCAGCTTCTTCAAATTACATCCTCAGTGGCTCCCGGATCTCTCTCGCTCTTCTGTATTCCACATCCCCCAGCACCCCCCAAAAATCTCAGAGTAGTTTCGTAAGGACGTCACAACACCATGCCTTTATGTTAACCTTGTTCGCCACTTGGTAATAAAAGGATCTGCTATAGACAGATGAACATCTTTGATTTCACGGTTTCAAATCAGCTTCAAGGGCATCATGCAGACAAAACAAGGTTGGCTTAGGCTGTACAAGAACCCCAGAATGGTTTGGACCTCCCCAAGATACTTAAAACCCTGTCAGAACTGGGGTTGTCCAAGGAGGCACCTGTGTGTAACACCACTGGATTTGTGAGCAACAGTGAGCGCAAGGTTTCCTTTTTTCACTGGTTCTTCTTGTCTTCGGCCCGGGAAACTGGGCAACAGAAAAAGGCAGGGTTGTAGAGACAGCGTAAAGCTAAGAGTTGCGGGCCCACTGCGTAGGCTACGTTGCATAGGACAACAAACCACCATCCTCTATCTGGGATGCGATATGGAAACGGAGTGCGATAGTGAACGGAAGCGGCAACGTGGCAAAACTGGGCCTGAAATATGGAACAGACAGAAAGGGTTTTGTGGCTCCAAGGCCCCCAATTTTATTTCCAAAATGGAAAAGATACATTTAGGAATTATCTGTTCTGGTTTGGGGAAGGGATTCCCCCGCATTTTGTATAGCGTTCTCATTTTCAGCTTTCTTATTGCATTTGTGCCTTTTTCTCCTCCACCCAGATCTGGCACAAAATATGGCTTTTTTGTGTGTTGCAACGCATGGATCAGCAGGAGCACTAATGTGCATCAATAAAGCCTCTTCCAAAAGGAGTCATTGCATAATTTTATGTAGAGCAGTGTTTCTCAACCTCAGCAACCTTAAGATGTGTGGACTTCAACTCCCAGCATTCTCCAGCCAGCA